AGTGCTGTACCGACCCTCTTGACCGGGACCCCCCCTTCCCTCAACTTGCCTGCCATGACTTGGTGTTACTGGATGAAAAAGGAGGGGTTCAGTCCTCTTCCTAGGGACCTGGGGGAACAGAGGTACTCATGGTTTCAACATGATGTTCCATGGGGCTCCACCTCCTCTACACCCAATCCACTCACCAACCAATTGGTGCAGCCTGTGTTGTCCAGCCGTGCCTGGTAGACCCTGATTTTCTGGGGGACCGGCGTCAGCATAAATTCCTATGGGCTAGCCCAGTTGTTATGGTTGCTGGAATCCCAGCCTTGATTGTGGCTGGGCTAGGATTCTGTCTCCTCTCTTCTGTTTTTTTTCTCTCTGGTTTCCTCCTCTTTGTCTCTGGGAGAAATGCTTGTGATGAATTTGCTCAGAAATTAGATGCTGGGGGCAGAGGAGAATGGAACTGGCTCCTCCATCCCAGCCTAATGCAGCGGCACCACTTCCCCTGCTCTGGACTCCAGCCCTGCACCTGCTTTAAGGCTTCTGTTGGCCACTGAAGCCTCCCCACACCAGGCATGCTCCTCGTCGGTGTGCTCCTCCTGCCTCTTGGTTCCAGTGGGCTTTTCAATCTTCCCATAGCGGTGTCTCTGGCCACCGTGATTGGCCCAGGGTTTCCCTACCTTGGGAACAGCTGATTGAAGAGCCAGCATAGTGCCAGCTCACGTGACCATGGCTCCTGCTCCAGTTGAGTGCCGGGAGGTTATTTTCCCTGGGTGGGGAGGGCAGGTTGTTTGGGTGGTGTGGGGCTTGTGAAGGTTCCCCCACCCCCTTCTGGTGCCTGTTGGGGCTTCTCGCTGCAATAAGTTGATAGGCAGGAAGGTGTTATTTGAGCTTTTTCTTACATTAATACAATGTTTTTGTCTAAAATGTGTCTGATTTTTATTTGTTTTTTTAAATGTAACAAGTTTAGACTTTTATTATATTAAAAGTCTGCATACAGTACATGAAGATAAGTAGATAAATGTTCCCATTCAGTGGGTTAACAGTCCTATAGAACATGTATGTATTGCAAGATACATTAATAAATCCTTTGTTTACTCAATATTTCCCATTTCTTTCTTTTCTGTCCCCTGTCCCCGCACATCCCTGCATTATGAGACGGTAGGTGCATTTACATGTTGCCCTATGGTGACATAGCAATGCACTACATGACCATATTCTATGCTACAGTGATGTAGGGATCACACAGGTCTACAGGTGACTGCTAGCTACTTCACCACAGGGATGCGCTCCCCACTTATAGCGCGCTCCTATGGCGACATAGTGGGGAAATATAAGCATGCACTGCCTATACACTGCAGTACAGGCAGTTTCTACACTGTTTTAGTACTTCCAAAAGGAAGTACTAAAGCATGGTGTAGTAACAATGTCACTGTACAGTTATGTGTAGACATGCCCACTGATTACTAAATGGTAATATTGTTACAGTAAAGCTGAAGCAGATATCATCTGCTTTCCTCCCTTCATCTCTAAAGTCATACTTTGAAAAGAGCTTATATTGAACTTCATTTATTCCAATCTTCATAGCCATTTTGATATGATCTTTAATCATATGATTGCATACTATTTTTCCTGCAGCATCCTTTCAGCAGTCGGGACATGGACAATGTTCTGAATTTGGCAACTGTTAAGTGAATGAGGCACGGAATTGCAAGAAAAGAAAAAGAGGCTGTGGTTTTTACATTTTCTTTTAGAAGTTTAAATGATTTCCCTGTTCAAAGAAATGAAGAACCAGACGTAAAGAGAGTCAAGTTCAAAATACCATCCTTCTTAATTCTGTTATCTAAAAATCAAGGGGAAACATGCTGCATTAATAGAAACAAGCACCTAGTTATACCCAATACAATTTGCTTTGATTTGGAATTCAGTGTAGAATGCTGATGTGATGGGAAAAAATAGCTGAGGAAATACAAGTTAGGTATTCAGGGTGTAGGGATTAGGTAGGAAATATCCGCTAGTGATGTGTAATTAAAAAAAAAAAAATTATGAACATAAGGCTATGGAAATGAATTTCTGGACATCAGCTGTAGTATAATGGCTGAACGTCACCTCAGTTCAAACCACTTGCATATCTTTCTTAGCATCCTGTTTGTGACTGTGAACAAATTATTTCACTTCACCGCACTGTGTCTTTCTTCACAATTTAAATGACAGGATATTCAGGACAGAATCTATTACTCATTGTGTGTGAAATATCTGATTCCAGCCTTTAGGTGGTACCACTATATAAATAAATAATAATGAAGCATAAGTGGGGAAAAAGGTTTGATATGGGTGACTTTCACTGAGCTGCATGTATACAGCTTGAATGTGTAATTTGGAAAAGTATAGATTTAAATGAAAAGAAAAGGGAAGGTACAAAAAACAGGGAAGGTAAATGACTGAGAAAAAAGAAAGATCCATTATCTTAGAGGTATAATTGGACTTTTGTGAGATTCACTCCTATTTTATTCATACCCCATTATACACTTCGTCTCAGCTCAGACTTGTAGGACAGCACTGTTGACAATTTTACATCTACTATATTTTTAGTTAATTTTTTATTATAAGTTCATATTTCTTTATTCCATCAGAATCATTGCACTTGAGTAAAAGGTAGGGTCAACCTAATTCAGGCTTCTTGCCGCCTTGAGTAGTATACTTGCACTATTTTATAACATCAGTATTTTTGTGCATACAATAAAAATGTCAGAATATTTTTTCAGTGCTTTTTAAAATTTAATATTTTTAGTGAATTTAACCTTTGCTTCCTTTCTTTTGATTATTTTATTCCCCTGTGGAATTTACATTTGAGGAATAAGCTGCTTTTTCTAAAGTTGAACCTGACATTGTAGGGCCAGCTATATGAAGGAGCAACTTATAATTGGAATAGGACATTACTTTCTCCAAACATGATTTTCTACCAGATAAAATCCCTTTGAAAGTCTGGAAGGTTATAAATGTTCAAACTTCCATAAACTGTGTTGTAGGACTGTTTTAAAAACAAATATTGATGTTTTTAAAGGATCTACAAAGAAGTTAATATTTTAAAAACCCTGTCTTTTCCAGTTCAGGATTTATGTAACTTAAGCCTAAAATATATATTTGTGTGTGTGTGTGTGTGTGTGTGTGTGTGTGTGTGTGTGTGTGTGTGTGTGAGAAAAAGGTAACAGAGCATTTTAATAGCTGTTTGGTTTCTTCAGTTTATATGTTAGCTGCTGGCAAGGGAGAAAGATTTGTTTTTGGTTTTGTTTTTAATTGAGCACTCCAGTACATTGTGAAACTTCCTATTTCTAATAAGTGTGTGTTGGTTGAATCTGCACTTCTCTCTCCTTCTGCCCTTTGTGCACTATTATCTAATCTTGCATAAATTGATACAAAATATTTTGAGCTTTTTATCACAAATATTCTTTTGGGCTATATATATGTAGATTTGTTTTAAATGTTAATTTGACCATTTGGAAGGTCAAAATTGTATATTTACTTTTATTGATATTACATATTCCCATCTACAAAGATACCAGTACAATTAAACAAATCTGCTTGACATTTTAAAATGTTAACCAGTGTATTTTATTGTCTAGTGTAATTAATATAGTTGCCAAGATATATCAGTAAATTTTATTTTTACTTAGTAAAGCAGGGGTAGGACTACATGAATGATAATGTTTTTGCTGAAATTTACAGGATTCAAAGTTGCTAAGCAAATAAATTGCTTAGCAGGAAAACTTTTATAAACAAGATTACAGACAGTCCTATGGGTCAACAGAGAAGATCTAATAGAAAATCTAGCCAAAAATTACCCTGATATTGATGCACTTCCTGGATAAGTATTACAACAAAATCAATAGAAAGAAACCAAAATGTACCATATGCAATAATAAATAGTAAGTTCATGTTGTTATTTTTTCAAGGGAGGGCAAATTTTAAGGCAGCTGGAATTAGAGCTTCTGTCTGTAAATGAATGATGATATTATTCTCTCTCAATGCCAGACTGGCTGGAACTATTGTGACAAACTAGAATATTAAGATCTTTAGTTGGATGGAGCATCTCAGATACTGCCTGTGGAGGCAAAGTGGGCTATAGAGTGGAATCTTGGGGCTCCTATATATGACAGGGGGCCCGTTTGGGGCTGGGTCTCATCATCGGCCCACCAAACTGTCTCTGGGACAGTCCGCTCAGTCTTGCCTGCCACAACTTGTTGTATAAATATCTGGTGTAAAAATGTGGGAGGCTTCCCGTTGTGTGCCCCAATGCCTGGGATGTTATACATGGCTCTGACCTCCCTTATACCATATCCCATGCCTCGCAGATGGCATCCAAAATAAATGCTTAACCTCTGACCCAAACTCAGCCTCACAATGTCTGAGAACTTACTGAGGTCTTGGCCTCTGGCAGCCAACTGCAGCCTCAGGCATCTGTAGACTTAGCTTGGCCATTCTGTCCCCTCCCTGATGCTTCAGCTTACACCCTTACACTAGGGCCTTCCACTTATGCTCACTTACTAGGCTCTCCTACTTAAGTTAACACTCTTGTGGGGCCGGCCCGTGTGCAGCCCTTCAGGTTACCCCTGCAACCATACTCTGCACCCCTCATGCACTGCCCTTCAGGCTGCTACTGTGAACCCTACTTTGTGCGGGCCTCTACACATCCTTCTTCCCCCTCACTGGGGCTATTCTACTGCCTTCTCTCACTGAGGCCTCTGGGGTCTTGCACCCCATGGGGCTCAGGTGCCTCTCCCTAGGCATGCCTGGTTCTCATGACTGTCCCTATAATCTGGGTTACCCACTAGGTTGTGGGGGCTGGGGCTATCAGGCACCCCATCCTCACCTTTCACTAGGGAGGCAACTGGTGTGGCATTTCCTGGGGACCACCCCATAGGTGGACCCACCACACCATCCTACCTGAGCAGGGTGTAGTTTTACATTATACCCCAGGCCCAGGAGCCTCCTGCCACCCCCATAGCTCCTGCCCTTACCTCCAAGCAGTTCTGAGCAGCAGCTCTAGCTGGGTGGTGCTTTGTCCATGGCTGCGGCCAGCAAACTGCTGGCTCCCCTGCTCAGGCCTGCTCTTATTGCCAACAGCTGAACCCTCTTCCCTAATCAGGCAGTCCCCTGCTGGCCATGTGACTTCTGATTGGGAGTGCAGCCACCTGCCGGCTGTTCTGCTGCTAGCTCTCAGCCCTTAAAGTGGCAGGCAGCAAAGGTGCTCTGCTACACTATACATGTGCAGGGACCCTGCTCTGATGAACTGTAATTCCAGCACATTAGAGGAGACTCAATTAATTCAGTCTGCTGGACCATGAAAATTAATGTGCTTGCGCAGCCTCCAGTCTCATGTATATCAGTGTCCCTGTGCTGAAAAATGGGGTTGGAGCACTTTAAATTAAAGCTCATTTGACCAACTTTAATTCAAAGCATCCTGCCACTATTTTTCAGCACAGGAACACTGATACATGTGATGCTCCAGGTGCTTTTAATTAGCGTAGCTCTCGGAGCTTCACTAATTAAAATACCCTCCCCCAATGCCTCCCAAAGCATGTGTATAAATGTCCTTGATTCTCTTCCCCAAGACTGCATGTTGTGCAACTGAGTGGTGTAACAGGTTAGTATGGCAAATTTTGAGTAAATATCTGGTAAAGTATGGCACCAAATTACTCTTCCCTTAAGCATAAGTCTACACTAAGGATCACAGGGCTTGTTTACACATGCAGAATAAAGCATGTTAGAGCAGCCCCAGCTGACAGGGATCTGGGGGGCCAGCTTGCCAGCCCAGGGCTGCTTCCCCCAGCTCATGAAATTTTTCCATGAAATGAACAGCTCAGCATGGAACACCCTGCTACTACAGCTATACAGCTCTGGTACCCCATTCCCACACAGTCAGATAACCCTACACAATATTGCAGTGTGTACTGAAGTGCATTAAGGAGAAAATTGTGACTCCGAGTCACTGTTATGATCAGAGACTTAAGCAAAGGCTGTTTTTAATTCTTTGTGTTTGCTCAACTCACTTGTTATGTATGTAATCTGTAACAACATTAATCTATTTTATATTTCAATATTTTTTTTTCCAATCCAAAGTATCCTGCTTTTGGGTCTGTTAGGGTAGCTTGTCACATTTAGCTTTAGTTGTACCTGCTTGAGTGGTGAATTATAGTATTATTTGAACTGTTCTTCCATACTCAGCCTTCTTTAACCATGGCTTAAGTTTTTGTATAGCCTCACTATTATTTGAACTGTTCTTTTGCATTTTGTCTCTGCACTACCAGCTAGCCTGGAGCTTGCCTTCACAGGCACTTATGTTCCAGCATTATCAACATAGGCATGTATAATGTAAGCCTTGTTACTAGTTCAAATTAACTGAACTTGACACTAACTGACTGAATCAAAGGGATGACATGACTGGAAATGTTAATGAAAGGTGACAAGAGGGGACCAATTGGACAGTGTCCAACTTCAGAGCCCTTGGAATTTCCAGAGTTGCTGGACAGATATGTGCATGTGATGCGTTTGTTAGAGCAAAGGAATATGCTGGAAAAATAAAAACATGAACGGTATGACAACCACAGAGAAACTAATCAATGGTACCCAGAAATAAAGGGTCATGAGAGAAGTAAAGTCTAGAAAAGAAGCATAAAAGTGGGGCAACAAGGAAGTTAGATGTGTCATTGTCCAACAACATCTGGACTAAAGAACAGCCATAGCCCACAGATGACCACCTCTACTTTCAGGAACTGATTGGCCACTTTTTCTGTGCACAGACCATTCAGGCCCAAGAAGTGAAGAAGCCAGCAGCCCTGAGGATTGGGCTGTATTTCTGGGGGTGTGCATCATTCTGACAGTGAAAAGGGGGTGGTGTTTGTGGCTGCCTGTGGCATCTTATTGCAGGGCACAGGGCCCTCCCTCCAGACTTTGAAATGTATTTATTTTTAATGGTGTGGTTTGTGTTATGCATACATATAGTTTCATAGTTTCATAGTAGCTAGGGTCAGGAGGGACCTGAACAGATCATCTAGCCTGACCTCCTGCCACAGGCAGGAATGAATGGCTG